CTTGGAACAGTTTAAAGTTTAAGCTCTAAACTTGTTTACAAGATTATCACTGATCCTCTAACAGACTTTAACCCTTTAAACTCTGAGGGTCTATATGAAGATCCACACTTCAGTTCATCACCATCACTACATACTGAATAATTCATAATAGATATTGAATGATTCATAGTAGACACTGAACAATTAACAGTAGATACTGAATAATTTACAGTAGATATTGAATAATTCATAGCCGATACTGAATAATTCATAGCAGATACTGAATAATTCATAGTAGATACTGAATAATTTGTAGTAGATACTGAATAATTCATAGTAGATACTGAATAATTTGTAGTAGATACTGAATAATTCATAGTAGATACTGAATAATTCGTAGTAGATACTGAATAATTCATAGCTGATACTGAATAATTCATAGTAGAGGCTAAATAATTCATAATAGTTACTAAATAATTCATAGCAGATACTGAGTACTTCATAGTATGTACTGAACAATTAGTAATTCTAATCATTTATAGTATTTCTCTATACTCAGAGTTTATGTACAGTGATTGTCAGTCATAATTCATTTCTACATGATCGTTCTCTAACCTCACTTTGTCCCTTAGAAATAAACAGGCCGTTTCCATCACTGTGACTTTAAGGATCTGAACACATTAAGCCAACATCAAAGGAAAAATAGCAGTTAAGGCCTCCGACCACTCCTCCATCAGCTCACCATCTCCTCTCACTTCCTGTGAAAACACCTGAACAAAGACTACAGCTGACGGCTAACGCGTACATACTCTCCACTCTGGCAGGAGAGGAACTGACTCTCCACGGCAGGAGGGGCAGTAGTTCGTATTTTAAATCCAATAAAGAAAACTGGAAGACCCCCAAAGGGTCTGGTCTGTCCAGCTCGACCGACAGCCATGAGCTAACAGGCTTCTCCAGTAGAGTTAGGCTTTACTGAAGGACTAAAGAAGACTTGCAAGCTTCCAATGTAGGACAGTGACAGTACACCACTGTTAGCTTGGTGCTAACATAACACAGAAGTTCTCATAAGGGCGTTAGCTGAAATTAGCTTCATTGGTACAGTAGATAAAAGGGCAGTGATGTTCATAACTGTATAAACAAGACATCACTGAAACAACTGAGAATCCCATGAGATGAATAAGATAACTGGTTCAGTGTGTTCACACTTAATAGTCCGATCACTGAAGAAAATCAGATTGTGTCAGTAACTGGTTCAGTGTGTTCACACTTAATAGTCCGATCACTGAAGAAAATCAGATTGTGTCAGTAACTGGTTCAGTGTGTTCACACTTAATAGTCCGATCACTGAAGAAAATCAGATTGTGTCAGTAACTGGTTCAGTGTGTTCACACTTAATAGTCCGATCACTGAAGAAAATCAGATTGTGTCAGTAACTGGTTCAGTGTGTTCACACTTAATAGTCCGATCACTGAAGAAAATCAGATTGTGTCAGTAACCGGTTTAGTGTGTTCACACTTAATAGTCCGATCACTGCAGAAAATCAGATTGTGTCAGTAACCGGTTCAGTGTGTTCACACTTAATAGTCCGATCACTGCAGAAAATCAGATTGTGTCAGTAACCGGTTCAGTGTATTCACACTTAATAATCCGATCACTGCAGAAAATCAGATTGTGTCAGTAACTGGTTCAGTGTATTTACACTTAATAATCCGATCACTGCAGAAAATCAGATTGTGTCAGTAACGTTCAGTGTGTTCACACTAATAATCGATCACTGCAGAAATCAGATTGTGTCAGTAACGTTCAGTGATTTACACTTAATAATCCGATCACTGCAGAAAATCAGATTGTGTCAGTAACCGGTTCAGTGTGTTCACACTTAATAATCCGATCACTGCAGAAAATCAGATTGTGTCAGTAACCGGTTCAGTGTATTTACACTTAATAATCCGATCACTGCAGAAAATCAGATTGTGTCAGTAACCGGTTCAGTGTATTTACACTTAATAATCCGATCACTGCAGAAAATCAGATTGTGTCAGTAACTAGTCTAACTAATTTAGTGGTTGAGTTTGACACCCCTGATTTAGAAGGTGAAGAATGCAGCAATGTGCAGTTGCTGTCAGTGTTACTCCAGTAGTCCCTGACACCGTTTCGCGGGTGCTGTGTTAAACCCTGCTTGCTGTTTTCCAGAATGAGAGCGATAGAGATCAGCGTGAGGGTGAGCACGCGCTGACAAACCCGCTTAATGAGCTAAAACCCAGAGAACAGCCTTAATCCCATCTAAGGAAGCAGCGTGCTGTTTACACAACCACTTGAATAATCAGATAACTGCAGAAATCCGATTATGATCGTGTTAATGTTGTGATCGTAAACACACTCAGTGACGCTCACAGGTGGACTGACGGTGTCCAATGATGTAAATTAGATCTGCTCTGATTGGCTGCCCTCCATCATGTCCTGTTCAGAAAGCAGTCCAGGCTGAAACACTCCTTATAACGTCAGTGAGAGTGGGCGGGGATAATCTGCTGTAGGCTGGATAGGCAGATATATGTAAAGGTATTGTTTTGTGACATCACAAAAACAATGAATTGAAAAGGAGCTGGTTGTGTAGTGTTTTGTTGGCTCCAGCATCTGCTTGAGCCGATCAGCTGACTGAGCTCTGAGCTGAGCTGAGTCAGAGTGAGTAAGAGCCAGAAAAACACCACGACAGGGAGCGAAACTCCTGAGATTCCCTGCACTCAGGACGTGCAGGGCCTGCGGGTGTGTTCAGAGTGTGTAAAGCATTATGTACTCAGCTTAAAGTGACAGTTTCACAAAAAAAAAAACCAAACGCAGTCAATCAGCCGAGACACGTTCGGTGTCTGAAGCTTTTTAGTTTTAGTGCTGGAGCTATGAGGCTAATGTAGCTAACAAGTAATCATACCTTATACCCACCAATTAGCATCAGGCCTAAATCATCACATATCTGCCTCAAACCGTGTGGAGATGTTCACTAATCTGAATGCTGAGTAGGTGAATATACAGCAATCTGCAGATGTTTCAGGAATTACATTTAAAAAGAAGTTGTTTATCTTGGAAAATCAGTGCTTATTTGCTCATAAAAGCTAATATTCCATGTGCAATATGTGTAAAATACATGTAAAATATCTTTATAGTGTAAAGATCTTTTGCTCTTTTGTTAACAATGTTCATATTGTTAATTTTGTGAAGGATAGAGTTTATATTTTCATCTTTTTTATTATATATATTATCCATATACTATACTGCTATCTATATATAATCTATTTTGTATTATATATTATATTATATATATCTATGTATATATATATATATATATATATATATATATATATATATATATATGCCTAGCTCAGTTTCCCAGTTGTGGGACTAATAAAGGTTTATCTTATCTTATCTTGCCTTATCAGAATACATTTTTATTTTTTGGCCCACCACCCCCCTCATGGGAAGGCTATTAAAACTTTACTATTATTCACTGAAAAAAATAGTATCCTGTCAAGTGAAATGATCTTAAATCCAGTCAATCTATCTATTTCTAGACATTATTTTGCTGCTATTTTTTCCTTGACAGGTGAAGGAAAAACCCACAACACTTTTAATGTAAGTCAATGGAACCAGACGTCTTTCCAAAACTGAAAACGACAAAAATGGAGATACGAGGTTTTCTTCCGACAGCAGTGATTTACTTCTTTTAGGTGATTTTATCAAGTAAAATTATTTCACTATACTGGCAGATAATTTGGTGGTTTCAAGCTCTTTTCTTACAACAAGCAAGATAATCTGCCAATATAGTGAAATAAATGTAAAATCACTTAAAACAAGCAAAAATGTCTAGAAACAAGGCAAATAATCTTAAATGAAGCTTACAACAATCTCAACAGGAGAAATATTGGATTTATTGACTATATTTAAGAGTATTTTCCTTGACAAGATACCATTTTTTGCAGTGTTTGTAGTGTTTTTATTAGAGTGGACATGTTAGCATAAACAGACAGACAAACAATGATAAAATAAAAAAGAAAGACAATATAAACGTAAAAAATAATATTGAGAAAATAAGCAAAGGTCTTAATGAGAAGCAGTTGTTAACAACACCAGTAGTGCCTGTGATATGGTCCTGTACAGGGACAGAATGTTGTGTGTGTGTGTGTGTGTGTGTGTGTGTGTGTGTGTGTGTGTGAGAGAGATAAAGAAGGGGAAAGACTTTATGATTAATAGGAATATTTAATACCGTAGCAACTCACTACTGACTGGCGCTGCTCCGAGAGGCTCGGGAGGCGTAGCCATGCACGTGCCACGCTGAGAGGCTCATGGTAGGTGCACACCCTCCTGAAAAGAGACTTTAATGTTGTTTAATTGTCATTATTTGTTAGTGTAAAGCCGTGTGGTGTGTTATTTGTGGTCTATGGGGTCGTGTGGGGGTTTTGTGTTGGGGGTCAATCACTGTGAAGGTGAAGCCTGTGGCTGGTGGTCTCCTCGAGAAAGCCCAGTATTAATCATAATTATTATCCAATACCCGCTTTTTCTGATCAAAACTTCATGGAATTAAATCAGGTGATGGAATTGCTGGAATGCAGCGAGTGTGCTCTTCTACCCAGCTCATAAGACGCATCTTTAAAAACAAGAATGTTGTACTGTATTTATGCTTATTTATATTTATTCTAATGCTATATTTGCTTAGGTGTTTAAGGCCTTTGCACAGCACGGTGTGTAAATGTGCTGATGCTTGTGACATCACAAAAACAGCAATGTTTACATCAAACTGACACTGTAAAGTCCAGGGTTTTCCCTGATATGGGCCCTTTAATAAAACAGCCGCTGCTCCCACGCTGCATGACTCCTGCTCTCTTTAGGACCCAGCGGCGCGCTCCTCCCAGTACTGACGTCTGTACAGTCATACGTGCCCGGATAAACGTGAGAGTGAAAGTGGAGGAGCATCAGCAGCAGCAGCAGCAGCATCCGGAGGAGGTAAGATCTCTTATTAACACACACACACACACTGCCGGACACACACAGAGAGAGAGAGAGAGAGAGAGAGCGAGAGAGAGAGAGAGAGATAAGAGAGAGAGGACTATGTGTTAATACTTAATGAGGCTAATTAACATATCAAAGTTAGGCTTATTCATAGAAGGAGTGATAAGGCTGGTAATCTAGGAATCTGTCGGCTGGACGAGCATCAACTCTGACATGTAGTTACAGTCTGGACGTTATTTGTCCTCATTATTTATCACTCAGCCATTTGCCCTTCAGTGTCCTTGTTTCTCACTGGCTGATCTGAGAGATGCTACAGAAGCTCATATCTGTATGGTTATTAAACATAAACACTGTTTAAGGAGAATCCACTCTTTAGGCTGTGAATGTCTGCAGATGATTTGCTCTGATCAAGCCACCTGTTTGTGTTTGTGACAGCAGAGTGACACAGCAGCAGCATCCAGAGCGTAAAGTCAAGTCAAGGTGAGCAGCTGCTTTGTTTATTTTTCTCTATTTTCGTGGCGTTTTGTGACTTAACAGTGTTCGTATTATGTATATCTCATACATATGTATGTACTCATATATACATATGACCAAATAAATAAATGATTTAAAGATACTTTACAAAAAGGAGCTTTTATTATGTAAATATAAAGAAATCTAAAACTCTACAGGCAAAATATACTCATTCATATAGTCATTGATTACTTGATTGATTGATTGATCAGTTGATTGCGACTGAGCCGCCGCGGTATATCCAGCAGGTGGCACTCCAATCAATAATCAATAACTACAGAGCAGTAATAATGAATAATCACAGAGTGATCAGTACTAGTTTAGTTTGTACAAACACATCAGTCTGACAGGAAACAAACTATTGATTATCAATCTAAACTCTGACCAGCACCATCAGCAGGCAGATCCCTGTTTTAGGAGGACAGTAATTATCCTGGTTTGACACTGGAGTGGAAACAGTTCATAACATTGCATTAAACATTACATTACATTTCATCACATTGTATCCTAAAGCTATTTAAGGGTTGTATTTTAAGCAGTAACGAGCTCCAGCTGCGTATTGCTTAATTTCCTGCGGGTTTGTTTTCGTTGTATCATTCTGGGTCTGTTTTGTTGTAGCACCATTTTCAATCAGTCAATCAATCAATCAGCCTTAATTTCCACCCAGAAATACATGGAAGGTGACCCTTATTTTCAGTGCAGCTGAGCATTTACAACATTGAAGGGATTGAAAAAGAAATTAAAATGTAATTTAATCAGGTTAAACTAAAATGAACGAAACTACAAAAACAAATTAACAGAAAATCCAGATGAGAAAAATGGCAAAAGGATTAGGAGAGCAGTTAAGATTTGATTAAAAAGGAGAAATAAAATAAAACCAAGATAATAAACCGATTAATAGGCAAACGAAAGTTTACAACAGTCAAGTGAAACATTTTTAAAAGGAAATAAAAAAAACAGTAATAGAATTGAGATAAAATGAAATAAATTAGAAGAAAAAAGTAGATAAATATTAATAAAATAATAATAAAATGAAATAAAAAGGAGGAAGGAGAAGTTAAACGCAGCTAAAACAGTGTCAGGCTGTCTGAAGGAGGTCAGAGACTAAGTCTAAACTGACTGAGTGACTCAGTGAGTTTTAGAGACTCCTGCAGTGACTCCAGCTCACTGCTGCTAAAAGCTAAAACCTCTCAGTACCTGACAGGTGATCCAGTCACCGAGCAGGTCTGATCATTGCTGTTATTTATCGAGATTTTTTGGAACCTCCAGTCCCCACATGACTTATAACTGGTCCCTTTGCATGTCAGCCCCCCTCAGAGTGGGCGGTCCTTCACCACACTGAGCGACGAAACCTACCACACTGTTTGCTGCGGTGGCCAATGTGACCCAACAGCTGCGCAATGAGAATGATGGCAACATGATAACGTGCTGCATTTTACAAACACTCTGCAAACTCAGACAACACCTTTATTAAAATGAGGACGCCAGAGTTTTACAGTGTAGACAGCAAAAACATTCACCGGTAAAGTAAGTTAGCTTTCATTGGAGCAGATAACTGACATCACTGTGTTGCGATGAGAATCAGCTGCAGAGCCTGACTAACATTTCGAACAGAACACCAGATGTGACATAACCACCGCAGTGCAGCTGTGCTAGTAAACCGAGATCTGTTTGCTGATCTTATCAGCTGAGGTAGCAACTTAGCCAGCCAAGCTAACCCTGAGCTTCCTGACCGTGAGTGTCTGTGGTCTCCTCAGCTCTGTCAGTGACTTTCCATCGCAGATATTCCGTCCCCTTCCCGAGTCTTCCAGACACGTTCCCGCTGTGCTGTGACTGAGGCTGTGGTGTTTCGGAAGTCGAATGTGTTCTCTGGGTTTTCAGTGTGTGTGTGTGAAATGTAGGTCAGGTGTAGTCAGGATGATGACAGTGTGTTCTGAGTTTGCATGGGTTTTATTGCGCTTGTCAGTCAGATATCTGGCCTGCGAGGCGACACAATCAAATCAATCAATTATTTATTTATTCCTCTAAAAGTGTATGCATGAGTTGCAGGGGTGGCGACACGCCTCCAGACGTGGCGGGGCAAAACAAAAAATAAAAAAAGCGCCTGGCTGAGTGACGCAATGCAATTAGGCCACTGACTGAAACTGCCTTTCATGTCAGACTACTGATGTGTCTTTATAAACCTGTTCAGAGGTGGGTAGTAACTGATTACATTTACTCAAGTACATGTACTTCAGTAAAATACTGACTCTGGATTTTCACCTGAGTGTTTCCAAATCATATTACTTTTACTTCTACTCTACCAGCCGTTCGTATTTGGACACTGATTCCGTTTTGTGTGTTTACATGCTGAGATGTATACCATACTATATAAACACTGTTAAGTCCCAAAATTAGTGTATTTGTTTGAGGAGACTTAGAAGCTTTGGAGTGGATCAGAAGCTCATGATCCAGGTCCATAATATTGTTTTAGAGAATATTTTATTATCCGTCATTTCAGTTTGGTTTGGTGATCTTTCAACACAGATAAAGAACAAATTAGTGTTGTTGAAACTACTTGCAAGGTCAATGCTGGTGACCAGCACTCCTGTCTTAGTGCAGTCTATGGGCAGCCTGTCATTAGACCGGCAAGAAGAATTATATCTGATCTGGATCGTGTTCTTTTTCCAGAGTATCAGCTTCTTCCTTCAGGCAGGAGATTTAGAATAATAACGTGTAGATTAAAGGCTCAGAAACTCTGATGTTCCTACATCTGTTACAGTTCTTAATTCTATTAGGAGAGCGATGCGTTTTCTTCACTATGTCTTAATCAGGGTGTGAGGTTATATGTCCGCTGGCTCTTTTATGACATGCAGTCTGGTTTGCCCAAGAAAAATTTCCTCTGGTGCGACAATAAAGTTAATTACATTTACGGCGTTTGGCAGACGCTCTTATCCAGAGCAACTTACAACTTGATCAGTTTACACAGTTAGTGAAGGCAGTGTTAGGAGTCTTGCCCAAGGACTCTTATTGGTGTTGTATAGGGTGCTGGACTAAATGGGGGATTGAACCCCAGTCTGCAGCGAAGAAGGCAAATGTGTCACCCACTACATTATCAAATAACAAGTCAAATAAGAGTGAGACTGGAGAAAAAATACTAAAATACTGTAAAACTGATTCTGACTCGACATTTCCTTTAGATTTAGAGTGCAGTAATAAGTTATCATAAAGTGTCATTACCTTGTGTGTCAGGCTCCAGTCCTCGCAGGCCACAACACTGCAGACTTCAGCACACTGCTTCATTAAACACACCTGATTCAGCTCAGCAGCTAATTAAGGTTCATTAACTGAATTCAGAGCGTCAGGTAAACACTAATAACTGCAGCACTTTGGCCTGTAAGGTCCCCAGTTTGACATGCCTGATCTGTAGCAACACTACAGGAGTTTCTACAGGATTTATATAGTGAATTCAGACAATTACTGTAGTTTACAGGACACTGCACAAGTACTACTATTAGAGCACTGCAGGAATATTGTAGTGTTATACTATAGTTAGATGATCATAGATGTATTTTACACTCTTAAAGTCGGTGCTTCAAGGTTTTCTTTGATAAAGACAAGAATCAATAGAACGTGAACATTCAAAGAACCATTTTCCGTTATTCTCATGGTGAAATGATTCTTCAGATTGATGGAGGATGTGTTGTATGTTGTTCTATACGGCACTGTTTTGAAAACGGTTCTATGTAGCACCAATAAGGTTTACAAGTTTGACATTGTAAACAGTAGTCAAACCCATTTTGGTGCTATATAGAACCGTATACAACACATTCTCCACCAGTCTGAAGAACCACTTCACCATGCAGAGAACCACTTAATCATTCACAGGGTTCAAAGTGTTCAAAGAACCTTGAAGAACCATGTTTTTAAAGAATGTACAGTGCTGTAGTTTTTATAGTGCTACTATTAAAGTCTAAGTCATGTTAATAAGTGTGTAAAGTGTCATGGGGGCAGCCTTGTGTGTGTGTGTGTGTGTGTGTGTGTGATGATGATGGTGATGCTGCATGTGACTTTACTGACAACAGGCTTAAAGGCCATCAGCTTAGATTACAGGACAGTAAACATGGGCGTTACTGTGATGATAAGATCAGTAAGAGTACTCATTTCTCAAGAGGCGTCATTCAGGCGCTTTAGAACGTTCTTAAGCTCTCTGTGCTGTTCTTAAATGGTTCTGATCATTCGAATGTGATCTATCTATGCTGTACACTTAAACTATCTGACTTTACCTTTTAAAAACGTATGCAAACGTATTACCTTGAAAACAATTCGTTTCTTAACAGGTTCCAGCTTAAATAAGTTTATATTTGAGTGATAGTTCCACTGTTAGATTATATAGGCTTTAAATAGCTTCCACAGCCAGTAAGGTGAACTCAAACAGCCTGGCCATTTAAAACACTCTTACAAAGATGGTTCTTCAAGGGTTCTGCTATTGTTACGATGTCAAGTTTGTTACACTAGAAGAATTTTTTGGTACTATATAGAACCATGTACAACACACTGTTCATCAATCTGAAGTGACTGGATTTATGAAATGAACAGTGGGGACGTTTCTAGTTCAGCAGTCAGTATATCATTAAAATATCCAATGTTTTTATCTATAAAATAAAAAATGGGGGCAGTTATAGTTTCCTGTATTTTGTCCATGGTAACTGCTGTACTGCAATAAACTCTGGGTAAAACTGGGTTCTAACTAACCCTTCTGAAAAAACCACAAAGTGTTTCTGTGGTTCCTGATGTTTTCAGTCCCGTAACTCCACCCCTGCTTTAACCCCTGGGTCACCCCATGTCCTGAAAAGATGTCTGTGGTGATGCTGGACACTTGTGAGCTTCTGGAGGAGTTTTACACAGCAGTGTTCTGTAAAACTAGGCGAGAAAGTGGTAGAAGTGGTCAGTAGAGAGCAGCAGCGCCCTCTGCTGGACAAAACAAGCTCAACACAGTATGTCTGCCCGTCTGCTCTGCTGCAGGACTTACTTAGGACTTTCTGCTGTGTTTTTAATCCACAGTTAAAAACAGGGACAACTCCAGGCCAGTACAGGCTGCCAAAAACAGAGAATGTCCCTGGGAAATGGGGACATCTGGCCACGCTAATCTGAAGAACCATTTCACCATGCAGAGAATGGTTCTATATAATACTCATGGTTCTAAATACGACCATTGCCTTTACTGACCCTTCAAGAAGCATCTTTTTTTGCGAGTGTAGGTTAATTAAGCTGGCAGTGCTGTCCTCTTTAGAGGTCACTCTCGTTTAAGACAGGTTAAACTCTCATTTAACTGCACTAATATTCATCTGTGTGCTGTGTGCTGGTGTCCACTGTGTAACACCTCCATTACTGTAAATGAATTGTTTCTTACATCACACCATTATTGAACTTATTTCTGTACATTATTTGCTTGTTTTGATTTAATAATTTAATCTGGTGAAACTGTTTTTTATATTGGCAGATCATTATTATTTTCTGAAATAAACAAAATTATTTTCATTATTTCTCAAAACCTCCCTTGACTAGATTTACCTCAGTCACTAAAGCATCATGCAAGAAATAGTATGTGTTACTAAATTTGCATTAGTGGGTTTAAGAGATGAGTAACGTAAAACCAAAACAAATGAAGTTAGTGCAGCTGTTCCGTTATACAGTGAAAATGATCCATATCATCCATAAACATTCTGAATCCTTTTGAATTATTCCAAACACATTCCCAATTGTTTCAAAACGGTCTCCAGCAGAGATCAGCATGGCTGATCACCAGCATGTTGTTGTGTTTTGGGTGGTGGTATGCTGGTCAACCAGCATGACCACACTGGGTGACCAGCTAAACCAGCACTAGATCAGTATAGACCCCCTTAGACCAGCATGGAATCAGGGATGTTCCAAGTAGCTTCCGGTTGTTCTAAACGTTCTTAATTCCTTAAAGTTACACCTCCTTCTGATGTTCTTAACTACAGAGCCCCTAAGACGACATGGTGATTATTCTGTAATGAAGTGTGGCCACAAATCAACACCTTAACAGGCCATGGGCCACAAGTTTCTCATGGGTACGTGGTCTCGATATATTAATTTGTGGCCTTAATATATTAAATTATGGACTCAATATATTAACTTGTGGCCTCAGTATATATATATATATATATATATATATATATATATATGTGTGTGTGTGTGTATATATATATATGTGTGTGTGTGTATATATATATATATATATATATATATTATATAGTCTCAATATAGTAATTTGTGGCCTTATTATATTAACTTGTGGCCTCAATATAGTATAGTAAAACGTCCCGGGATGTTCTGAAACATTCCTAAACTAGTCTTTAATGATCCAAATCGTTCTTAAACGTTCTTAATTGTTCTAATGGAGGTTCTAAGACCAGCAGCTGTTGCGTCTGGCTGAGTGGTGGTAATAGGTGCTGTATGAAGTGCTGTAAGTAGAGCAGAATGTGTGGCTGTTGCTGAGCAACGGTGAGAGGGGCTTCATCAGCCTCTTTATATCCCACCTATATTCCTGCAAACCCCGCCCACCTGCGCTTCAGCTGGGGGGAAAATGTACCATCCGACAGGGTTGCCAGATTCCTGGGGGAATTTAGGTTGAGTTAATGTAAAGAGGTTTTACTCCAAGTGATTTTGGAGCTTTTCTATTGGTCCATTCATCATTAAATTTTCTCTCAGTTCAAACAGTGTAGAAAAATAAAAATCAACAAAAATGGAGATACATGTTTTTATGATATGCAGTGCCTATCTGCACAGTTTTGAAGACATCAGTGGTTAAATTCTGTGTTGTTTATCATTATGGCTGAAAGGCTCTCCTTCCACTGGGTTTTGCTGCATTTTGGTTTATTTTGTTAGACTTGCACATATAGGAGCAATCTGGCAACCCTGCCATCTTCCCTGTGTGTTTACCCTTCAAGGTCTCCAGGAAGTGACCCGCTTAAGAGAAGTGACTCCTCTTTGTTTTGCTACTGCATGACGTTTATTTGTCTGATTAGTTTGCCTTGTTACACTTGTTATTTCAGAGCACACAGACCATAAACCGCCTCCGAGGACCAGCTCAGCAGATCTGAGTTTAGAACCAGGACCAGAACCACTTTATTTGGCCAAGTATGTTACACATACACACATATTAGTCACACATGTGTGACATTAACACACTGAACAGACCAGATAAGCAGACTATTAACAAATATTTAACTATGCCCTTAAAAACAGGGTTCTACAAGGGTTCTTTAGTAAAGAAAATAGTTCTAGCAAGAACCCTGAACACTCAAAGAACCCTTTGCATAATTGAAGTGTTTGTTGCATTATGAAATGGTTCTTCAGATTGATGGAGAATGTGCTGTATATGGTTCTATGTAGAACCCTTTTCAAAAAGTTTCCATATAGAACCATCTATAGCACACTCTGAAGAACCCTTTAATCATGCAGAGGGTTCTTTGAGTCTTCATGGCTCTTTATAGAACCATTTTATTCAAGAAAGAGACAAATACAATAAAAACAGAATAAACATAGTAAAGAATAATAAAGAGCCAAAGTGAAAGGAGCCGAAGAGAAAATCTGTACTTACGCAGATTTGAGGATGAATAAAATATAATAACTGCTATATATAAAATATTAACAAGGGATATGAACATTTGCAAAACTTAACACTGTTGTGCACATAAGCATTAAATTACAGAGGAGCTGTAGCGTGGCCGTCTTTAATGGCTCTGAATCATAGCTATGCTATTATGCTATTAGCCATGCTAACATACTTTAAGAAATTATATTTTCATGCAAAATTAGAGAAACACAAAAATTTAGTTTTGTTGTTTTTAAGTCAAAAATAAATCATGATTTTTTTGTTTATTTGCTGAATTTGACATACTCATACATACGAGTGCAAAAGTCTGAAATATTTTATATTTTATGTTTTTTTGTTGTTCTAAAATGTTAAACTCTGCAAATAAATAGAAATTGTGCACTAAATTTTGCAGAGAAATTTACATTCACATTTACGGGATTTGACTGACACTCTTATCCAGAGTGACTTACAATGTGATCATTTTTACACAGGGAGGTGAGGGTAGTGTTAGGAGTCATGCCCAAGGACCCTTATTGGTATAGTGTAGGGTGCTTAGCCAGATGGGGATTGAACCCCAGTTTACAAGGCAGAGGTGTTACTCACCACACTACACCAACCACTATAGTCAAGTTCTCTATATAGGATGTTTTCATTTAATTCAGTTATTTTCACTTAGAAAATTAACAAAACATGAAAATTGGGGGTGTTCAGACTTTTGCGTGCTGATGTATCACCACAGACACAAACTAACAAGATAAAACAGGGTTAATTATTAATAATTACAGGTTGAGTTTAAAGCAGGTCAGACAGTTGGGAATAGACTGTCTGTCTCACCTGAGAGATTACAGGCAAATCAGCGCCGTACGTCCATTACAGCTCCCTGTGGAGCCCTGCAGACTGCAGCCTCAGCTGGGGTGTGGTTTGTCATCAGTGTCCTACACGGTGGTGATCACATCAGGATTAGAGTCACAGGCTGTTTTTGTCCAGCCCTCGATCAGACGCTCATTTGAATATATCACTGCTGTCGGAACAAAACCTTGCATCTCCATTTTTGTTGTTTTTCAGTTTTTGACATAATTTGAAAAAATCTGTTGGTCTTTACATTGTGGGTTAATTTTATGATGAATGGACTAAAATAAATGTCCCAAAATGACTTGGAAAAATGTCTGGTTCCATTGACTTACATTAAAAGTAAAGTGTGTTTTTTCCTTCTCCTGTAAAGTTACCATTTTGGAGATTCGAGGTTTTGTTCCGACAGCATTGATATGCAGAACAGTCCCACTAACTGACCTGCTCATCTGCACTTTGTTCCATGTTTAAATGTTGAACCGCATTAGATAGTTGGTCTTGGATGCTGATGTCACTTCTCAGAACATGGTGCTAAATGGAGAACCATGTAAAGCCCTCCATTCAGTCAGTATCCGAGGCTGTAATTACAGTGGATGTGTCTTGGAAATGATTACTAACCATGACTCATACGTTTGATTCATCAGTAACAAGCTGTGCGAATGCTGATTGGCTGGCGAATTCTAAATACAGCCAGATCTGTTCTTTTAACAGACGACTCCTCAAATGAGAATCTGCTGCTTCTCCAGATATAGATACACAGATTTTATTCCCACTGTGGTTTTATTGCTAAATACACACTGATCACCCGTGATATTATAATCACCCCCTGTTTCTACACTCATTGTCCATTTTATCAGCTCCACTGACCACATAGTTTCACTCTGTAGTTCTACAGTTACAGACTGTAGTCCATCTGTTTCTCTGATACTTTGTTAGCCCCCTTTTACCCTGTTCTTCAGTGGTCAGGACCCCCATGGACCCTCACAGAGCAGGTACTATTTGGGTGGTGGATCATTCTCAGCACTGCAGTAACACTGATGTTGTGGTGGTGTGTTAGTGTGTGTTGTGCTGGTCTGAGTGGATCAGACACAGCAGTGCTGGAGTTTTTAAGAGTCTTTAGAAAATGGTTCTATATAGAACCATGAATACTCAAGGAACCTTTTGCATGATTAAAAGGTTCTTTGCATCATGAAAGGTTTCTTCGGATTAAAGGGAAATGTGTATGAATGTGCTGTAGATGGTTCTGTATAGAACCTTTTAAAAAGGGTTCTTCTATTGTTACAAGCTTAACACTCCTATTGTTACCGTGTCAAGCTTGTAACAATAGAAGAACCCTTTTGGGTGCTATATAGAACCATTTTCAAAAAGGTTCTATGTAGAACCATCTACACCACATCCTGCTTCAATCTGAAGAACGCTTTCACTGTGCAAAGAACCATTTAATCATGCAAAAGGTTCTTTGAGTGTTCATAGTTCTATATAGAACCATTTTCTCTACTAAAGAACCCTTGAAGCACATCTTTTTTAAGAGTGTAGTAAAGGCAATGATTCTATTTAGAACCATGAGTCCTATGTAGAACCATTTCATGCTTAAATTGTTCTCTGCATGGTGAAATCATTCTTCAGATTGATGGAGGATGTGCTATAAATGGTTCTATATAACAACAAAAAGGGTTAAGGGTTCTAGTATGGTCTAAGTTATGGTGTCAAGCTTGTAACAATAGAAGAAACCTTTTTGGTGCTATAAAGAACCATGTACAACACATTCTCCATCAGTCTGAAGAACCATTTCATCATGCAGAGAACCATTTAAGCATAAAATGGTTCTACACAGAACTCATGGATAGAGGATTTGAGAGATATCATGCTAAAAAGTATTTAATGTGAATAATAAATAAAGAATGAATACATGTATTTCTGCAGGCATCAGCAGAGCATCATGGGAGGTGTAGCGCTGGATGAGGGGCCGAGTGGTGTGAAAGCCCCCGATGGAGGCTGGGGGTGGGCCATTCTGTTCGGCTGCTTCATCATCACGGGCTTCTCCTACGCCTTCCCCAAGGCCGTCAGCGTCTTCTTCAAAGAGCTGATCAGAGAGTTCGGCGTCGGGTACAGCGACACCGCCTGGATCTCCTCCATCCTGCTCGCCATGCTCTACGGCACCGGTGGGTCTAATTAAAGCGACAGTTGGTTTAACTGGTCACCCAGCATGGTCATATTGGTTGACCAGGATACCAGCATCCAAAACATATGCTGTTTTTTTTCTAGCAGAGATACTATTATTAATAAAAATTGACAAAATGCCCAAATTCAGGCTCCAGAATGGCTGCTACTGATTTTAACTATGCTTATGTACTTCATGCTCATGTTAACAGATAACAGTGTCATACAGTGTCAGCACGGTTTGAGGCAAGCGTGTGGGGATTTAGGCCTGTGGTTAGCACAATGCTAATTCCTTCCATTACTATATAGTAGCCTTTTAGCTCCAGCGCTAAAACTAAGAAGCAAATTTCAAACATATAAAACAATAAAACTAAGAACAAGATTGTTCGATTGTCTTCTGTTGGTGTAAATATGCATGGATAAATTTACCACTGCGTCCTGGCCCACAGCCAAAAAAAAAAACATAATTCTGTTCCTAAAATCAGATTGTTTGAACTGTCTTTTAAAAAAGTTAAAATACTTAATAGATACACACCAATGACTGCATCACAACCACCGAATACTACAGTCAGATCAACTGAAGTAACAACCCTGTTCTGTTTAAACTGGAGAGCTGACAACTTATTGTCTTTACAACGGGGCTAAAAGCTTGCAGGCTAAATAGGCTAAAAGGTAGCTAACAGTCTAAAACAGGCTAAAAATAGCAGGCTAAACAGGCTAAAACATCACACACTAAACAGGCTACAAAATAGCTAACAAGCTAAAAGATTGCAGGCTAAAACAAGTTAGAAGACAGCTAACAGGCTAAAAGATACCAGGCTAAACAGATTAGAAGATAGCTAACAGGCTAAACAGATTAGCAGGCTAAACCATCTAAAAGTTAGTTAACAGGCTAAACAGGCTAAAAGATATCAGGCTAAGCAAGCTACAAGTTAGCTAACAGGCTAAACAGGCTAAGATATCAGACTAAACAAGCTAAAAGTTAGCTAACAGGCTAAGATATCAGACTAAAAGATATCTAATAGGCTAAAACACAGCTAATGGGCTAAAAGACAGCTAATAGTAAACAGATTTAACCTCTCCTACAGATTTATTTAGTGTTGGGCTTTGACGTGTTTACTGAGCGATTCAGTGTAGAACTGCAGTATAAAAAGTAAAGAACGCGTTATCTGAACGTCGTCTGTGCTTCAGATGTCTTTTTAGTGTTTTTAGCAGATCTGATAGCGTTAAAGTAGCGTTAAACTTAGAGCATAAAAACTAATGTGTGGCACTATTAGCTTGATGCTAACACAACACAGAAAATCACCTCGAAGCACTGGATGCTTCTTCGAGGGTTCTTCAGTAAAAGGAGTGGTTCTGTTTGAAACCACAGGTTTGATATAGAACAATTTCATGCTTAAATTGTTCTTCACAGGGTAAAAGTGGTTCTTTATAGCACCAAGAAGGGTTCTTCTATTGTTACAAGCCTGACATCGTAGCAAAAGTAGAACCCTTTTTGATGCTATACAGAACCATTTTCAAAAAGGTTCCATACAGAACCATATACAACACAAGCATGAAGGAACGCTGTTTGTTTGTGAGCAGGTCCTGTATGCAGTGTGCTGGTGAACCGTTTCGGGTGTCGCCCTGTGATGATGGTCGGGGGTCTCTTTGCGGCTTCTGGAATGATTTTGGCATCGTTTGCTACCAGCATCATCCACATCTATTTAAGCATCGGAGTGTTGACAGGTCAGTGCTGAAGGCCTCCTGCACCATAACATGGCCAACGGGTTCACATCACAGAGACTGTTCACATCACAGAGCTGAAGTGGTGCAAACCTGATTTTCTCCTTAAATGTTTCATTTTTAAGTGAGATGTACGTTACAGTTTTTGGATCTAGAACAGACAGCTGGATCTGATGGGTGATGTTGGATGCATTACTGGAGGAGACTGTTGTTTGTGTTCAGAGTTGTAATTCTAAATCCAAAAAAAAAAAATCTGCAAAATTTAACGGTTCAGATGTAAACAGAGTCGTTCAGAGTGGTTTGGTGTGAAACACTCAGTTATAGAGAAACTTACTGAGTCAGAACTGTTCACAGTGGTGGTGATAGGAACCAGACGTCCACCTCTAAAAGCTCCCTCACAGAAAGTTCCTACATGAAATGGTTATGAATTCACTGCCTGATGACTGAGACACTGTTTTATGATAGTTTTGAGAACTTAAACTCCATTCATGGTGGAGGGATACATGCAGGGCGCTGTGAGGCAAAATAGTCCCCAAAGAAAACTTATTATTTCAGATTTTCCACTATTTTCCATCATCAACATTCCATATAAACTCAGAAGACTCGTGTAGGTTCACTGGTGGTTCTGGATAGTAAATAAAATGTCTATATTTGTATTGTAGTCATGGCGACCCCTGGTTCCTATCACCACCACTGTAAAGACATCTGAACCATTTCACACCAAACCACTCTGAATCACTCTGTTTACGTCTCACACACTGGATTATGTGGGAATTTTGAAACATTGATGACATTTCCCTTTTTCTAAAGCAGGCAGATACAATCTGTCAATTGATTTTCTGCAAAAGTTTCCAAAAAAAGTCTGAAACCATATTTGTATGTGGTTTTGAGTCTGATTTAAATCAGTTTGACAAGTTAGATTGGATTTCATCTGTTTTTTATTTCATTACTTGTATGTTTCACCTTTTTTCTGCCCCGCCCTAGTGAGCGTACATGTGCCTGCATCGTTACTATGAACACAGCTGAGAAAATGCAAGCACTACATTCTGGTGGTCCAAATCAGATTTGGTCCACTTGCAATGTGAACGCTCAATTAAAAAATCTGATCTAAGAAACAAATCCAGTTCCTCCTCCTGTGCGAACAAAGTCTTATGCACACGGATGAGAACGGCTGAGGCAGAAAAACTGAATCAAATTTTTTTTTTTAAAAATCACAATTAGGTGACAATTGTTGTGAAGTGAATGTCTCAGCAGTGATGGACCCTGAGCTAAGGTCATCTGATTGCAGGTCTTGGATTGGCCCTGAACTTCCAGCCATCCCTCATCATGCTGAACCGATACTTCAGTGAGAAGCGCCCCCTAGCGAACGGCCTGGCGGCTGCAGGCAGCCCCGTGGCTCTGTGCTGTCTGTCTCCACTGGGTCAGGTTCTGCAGTACCGCTATGGCTGGAGGGGGGGCTTCCTGATCCTGGGGGGCATCCTCCTCAACTGCTGCGCCTGCGGGGCCTTGATGAGACCCCTCATCCCCCCAAAGAATGCAGAGAATTCTGGGATTGAGGAGGCTCAGGAGCATGAAGAGAAGGTCCAAGCCAAACCCAAGGCCAAGCTGCTGGACTTCACTGTGTTTAAGGACAGAGGGTTTGTCATCTACACTGTGGCTGCGTCCATCATGGTCCTGGGTCTGTTCGTGCCTCCAGTGTTCGTGGTGAGTTACGCCAAGGAACTGGGCAATGAGGACACCAAGTCAGCCCTGCTGCTGACCATCCTGGGCTTCATTGACATTTTCGCCCGGCCCACGTGCGGAATCATCGCAGGTTTGAAGTGGGTGCGCCCGCGGTGTGTTTACCTCTTCAGTTTCGCCCTCATCTTCAACGGCACCACCGACCTGATAGGCTCCCAGTCCAAAGACTACGCCTCGCTGGTGGTCTTCTGCATCTTCTTCGGCATCTCCTACGGCATGGTGGGAGCTCTGCAGTTCGAGGTGCTCATGGCCATCGTGGGCACACAGAAGTTCTCCAGTGCCATCGGTTTGGTGCTTCTCTTGGAGGCCATAGCTGTCCTAGTCGGACCTCCTTCTGCTGGTGAGGCTTTTTCAGACTACTGATATTTTTAAAGCTGCTGTAGGATTTTATTATTAGGATGTAAACAGAGTCGTTCAGAGTGGTTTGGTGTGAAACGCTCCGTTCTAGATAATCTTACAGAGTCAGAACTGTTCACAGTGGTGCTGATAGGAACCAGACGTCCACCTCTAAAAGCTCCCTCACAGAAAGTTCCTACATGAAATGGTTATGAATTCACTGCCTGATGACTGAGACACTGTTTTATGATAGTTTTGAGAACTTAAACTCCATTCATGGTGGAGGGATACATGCAGGGCGCTGTGAGGCAAAATAGTCCCCAAAGAAAACTTATTATTTCAGATTTTCCACTATTTTCCATCATCAACATTCCATATAAACTCAGAAGACTCGTGCAGGTTCACTGGTGGTTCTGGATAGTAAATAAAATGTCTATATGTGTGTTGTAGTCATGGCGACCCCTGGTTCCTATCACCACCACTGTAAAGACATCTGAACCATTTCACACCAAACCACTCTGAATCACTCTGTTTACGTCTCACACACTGGATTATGTGGGAATTTTGAAACATTGATGACATTTCCCTTTTTCTAAAGCAGGCAGATACAATCTGTCAATTGATTTTCTGCAAAAGTTTCCAAAAAAAGTCTGAAACCATATTTGTATGTGGTTTTGAGTCTGATTTAAATCAGTTTGACAAGTTAGATTGGATTTCATCTGTTTTTTATTTCATTACTTGTATGTTTCACCTTTTTTCTGCCCCGCCCTAGTGAGCGTACATGTGCCTGCATCGTTACTATGAAAACAGCTGAGAAAATGCAAGCACTACATTCTGGTGGTCCAAATCAGATTTGGTCCACTTGCAATGTGAACGCTCAATTAAAAAATCTGATCTAAGAAACAAATCCAGTTCCTCCTCCTGTGCGAACAAAGTCTTATGCACACGGATGAGAACGGCTGAGGCAGAAAAACTGAATCAAATTTTTTTTTAAAAAAATCACAATTAGGTGACAATTGTTGTGAAGTGAATGTCTCAGCAGTGATGGACCCTGAGCTAAGGTCATCTGATTGCAGGTCTTGGATTGGCCCTGAACTTCCAGCCATCCCTCATCATGCTGAACCGATACTTCAGTGAGAAGCGCCCCCTAGCGAACGGCCTGGCGGCTGCAGGCAGCCCCGTGGCTCTGTGCTGTCTGTCTCCACTGGGTCAGGTTCTGCAGTACCGCTATGGCTGGAGGGGGGGCTTCCTGATCCTGGGGGGCATCCTCCTCAACTGCTGCGCCTGCGGGGCCTTGATGAGACCCCTCATCCCCCCAAAGAATGCAGAGAATTCTGGGATTGAGGAGGCTCAGGAGCATGAAGAGAAGGTCCAAGCCAAACCCAAGGCCAAGCTGCTGGACTTCACTGTGTTTAAGGACAGAGGGTTTGTCATCTACACTGTGGCTGCGTCCATCATGGTCCTGGGTCTGTTCGTGCCTCCAGTGTTCGTGGTGAGTTACGCCAAGGAACTGGGCAATGAGGACACCAAGTCAGCCCTGCTGCTGACCATCCTGGGCTTCATTGACATTTTCGCCCGGCCCACGTGCGGAATCATCGCAGGTTTGAAGTGGGTGCGCCCGCGGTGTGTTTACCTCTTCAGTTTCGCCCTCATCTTCAACGGCACCACCGACCTGATAGGCTCCCAGTCCAAAGACTACGCCTCGCTGGTGGTCTTCTGCATCTTCTTCGGCATCTCCTACGGCATGGTGGGAGCTCTGCAGTTCGAGGTGCTCATGGCCATCGTGGGCACACAGAAGTTCTCCAGTGCCATCGGTTTGGTGCTTCTCTTGGAGGCCATAGCTGTCCTAGTCGGACCTCCTTCTGCTGGTGAGGCTTTTTCAGACTACTGATATTTTTAAAGCTGCTGTAGGATTTTATTATTAGGATGTAAACAGAGTCGTTCAGAGTGGTTTGGTGTGAAACGCTCCGTTCTAGATAATCTTACAGAGTCAGAACTGTTCACAGTGGTGCTGATAGGAACCAGACGTCCACCTCTAAAAGCTCCCTCACAGAAAGTTCCTACATGAAATGGTTATGAATTCACTGCCTGATGACTGAGACACTGTTTTATGATAGTTTTGAGAACTTAAACTCCATTCATGGTGGAGGGATACATGCAGGGCGCTGTGAGGCAAAATAGTCCCCAAAGAAAACTTATTATTTCAGATTTTCCACTATTTTCCATCATCAACATTCCATATAAACTCAGAAGACTCGTGCAGGTTCACTGGTGGTTCTGGATAGTAAATAAAATGTCTATATGTGTGTTGTAGTCATGGCGACCCCTGGTTCCTATCACCACCACTGTAAAGACATCTGAACCATTTCACACCAAACCACTCTGAATCACTCTGTTTACATCTCACACACTGAGTTATGGAGGAATTTTGAACATTTGGTTTCCCCCCGTAGCCCCAGTTATTCAACCAACCAAGTCATATTTGGTGTCTGAAGTTTGCTTCTTTGGCTTTAGCGCTGGAGCTACGAGGCTAATGTAGCTAAAAAGTAATGGAAGCTTATGCGAACACCAGTTCTTTTAAAATCAAACAGACCTGCTATCACAGATGAATCTTGCCATGTTTATAGAGAACAGTGAGTCATACAGTGTCAGAAACCACATAATCAAGACTATTAGAGACTCTGAACAACTACACACAGTTTGAGACATTTAGAAATGTGGTTAGCACCATGCTAACTAGCAACCAAGCTTTCCTTATTTGTTAGCAGTGGTGAACTGTAGCTATAAGAGCTAAACTTCCAGTTCATAATGTAAAAACACCTCTATGGTAAAGCATAATTCCTTCTAGCGCCTCTTTGGGGTTTCTAATAGTATTTTAGCACTAAGATTTACAAGAACATTTTTTTGGCTGTTCTAGGTTCAATTAACTTTTGAAGTTTGCAACAGACATTATCAGATATCTGAGCTTGTATGTATCAGTGTTACAGTCACTCTCTCAGTAAAGAGTCCTGCATAGAGCTGCCACCACTGTTTAACATTCATAACAGCTAAGCAGAACCTGCTTAGACTACGACTCATATTCACAGTCAGTTATCTAGAACCTCTAGAAGGACTAGAGTGATGTTTTCCTCTCATGAAATTAGTCCGGAAAGTGTAATTGGTTGGTTCCTCTGTCACTTTCCGATTATGTTGGTGGATAATCTTATGTATAAGGCCTTCAGTCCAGCTCCTGAAGTCCTAACCAATGGGAGAGCAGCTCAGCTGTATCTACCTAGATACCAGAGAGAGAACAATCCTGATTGGATCATTTCCAATTTGGGCATTTGATGGTTTTAACCCTTTTGTTTTCAACCAAAACTTAACAATGAATTCAGAGTTTTACTGCAGTACTTATGATATGAAATAAAATATGAAATAAAAATGAGCTAATATTTACTGACTGAATGAGATGCTGACGGAAATACTGGATAAATCTGATTTGACTGCAGACTATTCTGTTCAATTTGTTTATATTCCGAGGACACAGTCGTTACATCTCAAGACCACCCAACTAATTATATCTCCATCTTCCCATCCCTCCTCTTCTCCTTTCCTCAGGCCGTCTTCTGGACTACACCAAAAACTACATGTTCGTGTTCCTCCTGGCTGGTATTGAGGTCACTCTGTCTGCTGTGGTGTTGGCCACATGCAACTTCCTGTTCATCAAGAAGAAGCCTCAGGAGGCGGATGCTGCTGTAGAAGCTGGAGAGGTGGCTGGAGAACTGGAGCAGCTCCATAAGAACCACACAGAGGAGCCGAAGGAACCCGACGGAGATGCAGAGAAGCAGAGGGACCTGGATGACCAGGAGGCTAAAGAAGAGACGGAGGGAACGTCGCAAGAAGAAACAACCCTTCAAGATGGGCACGTGCAGAACGGCGGCGTCGGCGCTAATCCTGAAAGCAGCCTGTGAGCGGAGACGCTGGACGAAACATTAGCCAAGGACAGAGGAGGAGGTTGCAGATGTCCAGATTAGAGCAATAGACCGTCCACAGTATTAGCGCGAGCTGTCTAGATGTTGTCTCGGTCCATTATCCACCAGAACACTACTGGCGGACTTGTGCAGACCAGAATGACCACGAGTTTCCACTGTGTACACGCCTGCACTGCCACAAGTAGAAAAGAACAGGCCTGTAGTGAGCACAGGTATGGAGATGCAGAGGTCAAAGGTCACGCCATCACTGCTTTTGCTTGTTCTGGTGCCAACACAGCTGTAAAAACCAGTTTAAGTGCATTAGTGTCCCAAGGCCTTTAAACATCACGTTCAGTCTGATATGATAAACGTGCTGCTATCTGTTTGTGTTGTAAGTGCTTTTCTGTTAGCGTGGGCCAGTTTCCTGCACGTGGATTAAGCCTAGTCTTGGACTAAACTGCATAGCCAGTGCTGATCCATCACTAACAATCATTTAGCAAGTGATAGGTCCGGTTCTGATTTTTAAATATTTGTTGTATAACTGTTGGTTAATCTGAAGCTGTGCTGCTATATCGGAAATCTGTTTATCTGACATCAATTTATTTCCACCATAAGTGTGTAATTTCACTGACCAGCAGTTCTTCAGTAATAACAATGCTGGAACTACTTTTTGTGGCGGAAGAACTCACTAACATTGAGGCCTTTTATACACCGAACATGATTTATTTGTGCAATTTATTCAGATTTATATTAAATGTGGAAGATCTCAACATTTCAGCTTCTGAATGAAGTGGTGAAGCTGTTTATGCTACTTTCACTTTTCCAACATGGACAGTAGCTCAGCGTCACCGTTGGTTTGTTCTGCTGGGAGCAAAGAATCAGGAACCGTATTACAGAAACTTCCATCTTTTTGTTCTAAATTAAGATCTGACAGGTGATCTTAATTTAGGACTTTTATCTTATCTTACAGCGTCTTATCTCCAGTTAGGAAATCTTAACCTACTCAATCGAAGTTGACAATCAGCTGTCATGTCTGTTTCCTAGCAACCGACCATAAACACACACAGCTGAAACGTAAACACAATCAAAATAATGTTAAAATGTGAGTTACGCTGCTGTTACTGATGTAAAAAAGGATCAATTATACTAAAGAGTGATAAACCGTAAGTGGTGAATACTGTGAGAGCGCCCCCTGCTGTTTATCAGAGCGTCGCCGCTCCCCAGTTTCAGTCTCCATTTCCCAAACGCGTTAGCCGAGCACGCTAACGTTACTCCTCCTAATAAACAGACACACGTTCAGCTCCGTCTCCTCATTATTCACCACCATCACTGTAATATTTCATCATCAACATTAACACACGAAGGTGATCAGAGGGGCGGTGGAGATCGAGTCTGCAGCGTCTGAGATCTTTAAAACGCAGAGTTAGAAAAGAAAATCATCTCACAGTGAAAGCAGCGTTTTACAGTAGAAATAAATGGAGCTCATTATGCTGGTAGTGAACTATGCTGCTGACTCAGCTGCCTAAAAACCATAGAAACGGACCTTAAACAGAAGTGAGGACCCTGTTGGGGTTCATCCTAAAGTTAGGACAGGATTTAGGAGGTTTAGTCTAGTTAGGATGTTTGTGTGATGCTGTTTTCTTATCTGGAGTTCATGATGAGATTATGAAGGTAGGAGCTGTTATTCTGTAAGAGCTACTGTCCTGAATTCAGTCTGTACTGAAGTCAGAATGGAGACTAAACACATCAGATTTCAGAGTTAAGGTGTTTCTGTAATACGACTCCTGATCTTATTTGTACTTCAGATGCTTCGTTTAATGTGGAGCTGCATCTAAAAAATCAGCTCAAACTCAGCTGAGATCCCAGCTGTGGGTGAAGTTCTCATGCAGTTTCAGCTCCTGAATGAGGTTTATTAATTTATTGTTACTCCTGGACCTGATTTAAGGGAGGGTGGGTTGCAAAGGTGATGGTATGATTACTTATAGTGCTGCTGGAGTCCACTCACTGTCCACTCTATTAGACCCTCCTACCTTGTCAGTCCACCTTGTAGATGTAAAGTCAGAGACGATAGCTCATCTGCTGCTGCACAGTTTGTGTTGGTCATCCTCCAGTCCTTCATCAGTGGTGACAGGACGCTGCCCACAGGACGCTGTTGGCTGGATATTTTTGGTTGGTGGACTATTCTCAGTCCAGCAGCGACACTGAGGTGTTTAAAAACTCCAGCAGCACTGCTGTGTGTACGGTTAAGCGTCTTAAGTCTGTAATACATTCCGTCACACATTAATTCCATCCAGTTTTAAGACTGACATGCGAAGTTGGCTTGATTGTATTTGGAGCAGCTCCACTTAAAAACCCACTGTCCACCTTCAGTTTGTTAAACAATTGACCTCCATATGACGTACGACGCACAGCCTCCAGTTACTGCTGTAGTTCAGTCTAAGCTCTGGTTTAGTCTGGGTCTGAGAAACTGGCACCATGGTTTATAGAATAAATCATCACTGTCCAAAAATAACAAAACCTCCATATTCCAGTTTTTATTAGTCCACATCTGTTGACCTGAGCAGCTGCCCAACACATTGTGTAAACATTTCATGAATGGACCAACAGAAATGCTCCAAAATGACTCGTAATAAAATCATTTTACATTGACTGTAACAGTTAAGAGCGTCTTCGCTCCCTCCTGTAAAGTCATTATTTCATGGGTAACGTTTTTATTTGGACAGTGATGATATTTGCTTGTATTGCCTTGTTTTCTCTGATCAGCTCAAACAGTCCGATACGCTCTTTTAACTGTTTTTTATTTATTTATTTTAAATAAATAAACAACTCACTGTTCCCAGCATTGTGTATCTCCCCATCAAATATTAGGACGTTTTAAACTAGCTGTAGATGTGCGTCAGTATTAGTTGTCATGTGAGAGATATTTATTTCTGCATCTGTGTTTGTTGTTGTTTATGTTTGGATTGAACTCCTGCTGCTATATTGCTGAGACATTCATTATGATATTTGGATCTAGAGCAGACAGACACTGGATGTGTTGGGTTTTATGGTGTATATGATGCTTTTTATGATATGACTTTAGACAGCCAGTCATATTTTTAATCATTTATAAGTCTTAAAGCAAAAATGTTAAAAAATTCTGTTTAAAATGAAATGGTTAAGATGTAAACAAAGTCGTTTGGTGCTTTTTCTGCAGTCCTTAGCTGTGTTGGTTTGACCTCCTTCTGCTGGCGAGGCTTTTCATTCGGTGTCTCTAAAGGGGAATTTCACTGTTTTTTCAAAAATTCCTGCATAATTAATTGGCTAAGATGTAAATAGAGTCATTCAGAGCGGTTTGGTGTGAAACGCTCCGTTCTAAAGAGTCAGAACTGTTCACAGGGGTGGTGATGGGAACCACACGTCCACCTCTAAAAGCTCCCTCACAGAAAGTTCCTACATGAAATGGTTATGAATTCACTGCCTGATGACTGAGACACTGTTTTATGATAGTTTTGAGAAGATTTTGGCCTTAAACTCCATTCATGGTGGAGGGATACATAATATGCAGGGCGCTGTGAGGCAAAATAGTCCCCAAAGAAAACTTATTATTTCAGATTTTCCACTATTTTCCATCAACATTCCATATAAACTCAGAAGACTCGTGTAGGTTCACTGGTGGTTCTGGATAGTAAATAAAATGTCTATATCTGTGTTGTGTAGAAATTGGTGGAGTGCTCCTTTTAAATTCCCAGTGATTGGAGCGCGATGTCTCTGTCTCTGTCTCTGTCTCTGCTTGTGCTGGAGATGATCTGAGCACTGTGTCATAGAAAATCTTACAAGAAGCCACAAAAGCAGCTACAGTTTCCTAAATTTAGCAGTTTCCATAATTAGAGGAACGTCTGTCACAGCAGGACGCTCTAAAGCTCGTCAGTTCTGCTTCAAGGGCAGGAGAAGTGACAGCACTGCCCGGCAGCACTGACCACGAGAAAACCACACTGCAGTTCTGCCCCCACAACAGCACTACAATATCAAATTAAAACACAGCACCGGTGCTCAGTTGGTGACTCAAAGCTGTATGAGACAGTATATAAAATGCAATGAGGACAAAAAGATGTTGTTTGTAAATCCACTTTGGACTGTTTTTAAACGAAAAGCAGTACAAAGATTTAATATTTTAGCACATTTTTTGTAAATATACACTAATTTGGAAACTGAGGCCTGTAACACACTCCAGAAAAGTTGGGTCAGGAGTAATTTAAGAGTAGGATCGCTGTGAAATGTTGATCTTTATGAGCGAGGGACGGCTCGAGGCCAAAAACATGCCAGCGAACAATTCGACAGTTTAAGGATAACGTTCCTTAATAAGCATTTGCAGGGATTTAAGGTATTTCCCATCTTCACAGTGCACAATATCATCAAAACATGCAGAGAATCCGGAAATCTCTGTACGGAAAGGGCAAAGCTACTGACTTTTGACCTCTCGGATGGCACCGCATTAAAAACCAGCATCGGTCTGTGATGGAGATCACTGCATGAGCTCTGGAACACTTTTTTAATAAACACCGTCCGACACTGCATCCACACATGTAAGTTGAGGCTGTATTATTGTTATGACCCGGTCTAGGGTCAAGCAGCAATTTATGTTTTGTGCAAGTGTGTGTAGAGCACATGTATCAGGCTCCAGTCCTGGTGGGCCAAAACACTGCAGACTTCAGCTCACTGTCTCATTAAACACACCTGATTCAGCTGGTCAGCTGATTAAGGCCTTACTGAACTGAACTCAGAGCGTTAGATGAGGGGAAACGCTGATCTCCACAGCACTTTGGCCCGGAACGTCCCCAGTCTGACAGGCCTGGTGTAGCTGTTTAATAATGAGTCAAAAAACCACTAAAAGCTGAAAGCATATAATACAGTAGAACAGTTAAACACCAGTCTGTCGTCGGGTTTGGCCAAAACAACAAACAACCACAAACTGACTCTAAGAGAGACACTAACTCAACTCAACCAAACAAAATAACTAACAAAAGACAAACACAGACAAGAAAACCCCAAACCCAAACAAACCGCCTGTGGAACCGACACCTGAAACCATTCACAAAAATACACAAAAAGGGACTATAATAAAAACATCGCTGCTGCCGGAACGAAACCTCGTATCTCATTTTTCAGTTGAAAATGCCGTTAACCTTTACATTGTCTGCAAATTTCATGATGAATTCTGGTTCCATTGACTTGCACTGAAAGTAAAGTGTGTTTTTTCCTTCTCCTGTACAGTCGGAGATACGAGGTTGTTGTTCCGACAGCAGTGATATGTGACGTCTACATTTTTCTACTGGCTGGAATTTGAATTTAGAATTGAGGATCACACAAAGCAGCTCTGCCTCAAATGCTGATAAAGGCAGTTTATACAGAGAAGCGAGAGCCGCAACAGCAGCGGTGATAAATACGGCACAAACTGAGCTGTAAAGTTCAGCTTATCAGAGGAACAAGAAACGCAGGATGTGATGCAGCAGCTCAGTTTTCCTTCCGCATTTAAAAACAAATACAGGCTGCACAAACACACTGAGAACATTTCTGGGCACTGAGGTTATTAAAAACTCCCCAGGGGAGGCTAATATGATACTGTATTGTTACCGTGATGAATTATGTCACAATACACTGCAGAAAATAACATCTCACCAAGTGAAAACATCTAAAATGTAGTCAGTAAATCTAATATCTCTCATTATGAGACTGTTGTAAGAATATTATGAGATTATTCCACCTCTTTCTGTACATTTCTACTTCTTTTAAGTGATTTTATCCAGTGAACGTGTCATATTCCATTAGCAGATTGATTTACTGCTTTCAAGACATAATGCTAAAAACAAGTAACATGATCTGCCAATGGAATTAGACACTTTTATAAGATAAAACTGCTTAAAAACAGGTCAAAATAGCTATAAATAAGTAAAATAATCTCAAATTATTCTTACAAGTCTCATAAGATATTCACTACATTTAAGATGTTTACACTAAGATATCATTTTTGCAGCGTACGCTCTCCTGAGCACACTGCGGATCATATCGTCAGTGCTTAAAGAACATTAATTAACTCCATGCTTCATCACTAAGTGAGCATTAGGCCTTTAAATGGATTTAGTGCTTTGACTAGAATCACTGTAATTGTAGGTTTATTATTACTGAGTTTTTGTTTTTGTCAGTTGAGGTTATATTTTATCTTTTCCAACTTATTTAATCTCTGAAAAATGAAATATCATGATGCGTACAGTGAAAATGTCTTTAAACGTCGTGACATAATGTTTTTGTCATATCGGCCACCCCTACTCCTCCCTGAGACTGGCCATTTTATCAGAAACACCAACCCTACAGGTCCATTATACAAGCTTAAAGTTACAGACCATAGTTCAGTGGTCACCTTCAGGAGATCCGCTTTGCTGCACAGTTTCGTTTTAGCCGACTCCCCCTTTTATCTAAGAGTAATGAATCTGATCCAGCCAATCAAGACCTTCTGAGGAAGTTGATTAGCAGGAGCAGGTGTGGCAGATTGGCACTGGATGGAAGGTAGATCTCCAAAACCAGGGTTGGTGACCACTGCTGTGGGCCATCTGTTGCTGCACAATGTCTCTACAACATTCCCCTTTGGAAAAAGACCACCACAGCAGCATCCCTGCGAGGTTGGGAGTGGTCCACCACCCAAAAATACCCAGCCAGGAGTGGCTTTGTGGTCAAAAAACTTACTACTGGTAAAAGACTCTAGGTTGGCTAAACCAGACTGTATCACATCTACAGCAGTGGTCACCAACCCAGGTCCTGGAGATCTACCGCCCTGCAGGGTGTAGTTCCAACCTGCTCCAGCTAAGTACCATCTTCAGACATCTGTGATTGGCTGGATCAGGTGTGTTAGTGTTAGATAAAGGGGAGGGGCCTTAGAACATGTAAATGATCAGAATTTATTTAGTTTATTGTAGATTTAAATGCTGAGCTGATTTTTCCATGGTTTTAATATCGATCTCTGCTGTTAGCAAATGTCTACAAACACCTGTGTTCTTAAATAAACATTCACAAGCTGTACTCATAAGATACATAACCAATTCTGTGGTTATTAACCCTGTTAAATGTCCAGGGCCCACCAGCAGGCCCACAGTTCTATTACACGTCTATAATCTAAGAGCAGCTCAGCCAGTTTGCACTGAAGTCACTGTAGTTACTGAATAATAAGCCCTAGTATGTAATAAGACTAATTGTAAATCTATAATAAGAGATTTTAAGGGAATTTCACTGTCAAAAATACCTTCAGATGTCTTTACAGTGGTGGTGATAGGAACCAGGGGTCGCCATGACTACAACACACATATAGACATTTTATTTACTATCCAGAACCACCAGTGAACCTACACGAGTCTTCTGAGTTTATATGGAATGTTGATGATGGAAAATAGTGGAAAATCTGAAATAATAAGTTTTCTTTGGGGACTATTTTGCCTCACAGCACCCTGCATGTATCCCTCCACCATGAATGGAGTTTAAGTTCTCTAAACTATCATAAAACAGTGTCTCAGTCATCAGGCAGTGAATTCATAACCATTTCACGTAGTAACTTTCTGTGAGGAGCTTTTAGAGGTGGACGTCTGGTTCCTATCACCACCACTGTGAACACTTCTGACTCATTGTATGGGAAGGTCTTCACGTTCACTGAACTATTTCATTCTGCACCTCTGATTCCAGTAGAAAAGTATAACGGAGTCAGTTCTACTAAGTTACATCAGCACCCTCTAGTGGCCAGTCTGTGAACGGCCAAGTGCCTGAACCAGTGACTGATATGATGATGCATCATCTTTGTTCCAGAACACTGAACAACTGCACAGATCATAACAAAAGACTAAAACCAGTTATAGAGTCTGTGAACAATCACCACCATGCGTGTGTACAGTAACCACAAACTGCATAATAACAAGTAGCTGATTGGACAGCAGCCAATTATGGCTTTATTTTATTCATTTATCTTTTACTAAATGGTAAAGGGGACCTATCGTGCTCATTTGCAGTGTTCATAATGGTATTCTTAGGGTCGAATAGATTTAGATGCTTCCAAAAACATTCATTTCCCTCATACTGTACATCTCTATTCACCCTCTGTCTGAAACACTTTTAGAGCAGAGCCGGTTTATGAGGAGTCTGGCCTCTTCCTATTTCCCCTGTTATATCAAAAAAAGTCATTCAAGTGACATTTTTAGACTTTAATACTGCAGTTTTACAGTGAATCATACCGTAAGTACTTTAATTCAAGCCTGTGATATTAATGATGGAGTTGTTTCAGCCTGTTGTCTAGCTGAGCAGCCTGGTTCTAGATCAGAAAATAAGTTATGAGTCCCTCAGTATGAACAGAACCAGGGTTCTTACTTCATCATAACACTGTGCTCCATGCGATCAGCATTAGAGTCTAAGATTATTCATTAACAGCCCCAGGGTTTTTCGTGACGTGGCGCAGTGATACAGAGCTCAGCTGCTGTGAGGCGGTCATAGGAGTGTGTATATCATGGATTTTACAGCGGTTTGAACATGGCTCAGCCAATCAGATTTTAGAACGGGGAATATCCAATTTATAAGAGTTTAAATGCAACAAGCACTATAATTATATGAAATAAAAACTAAAAATAAGCTAAGATCTACTGCGTCCTGAGGGTTTCCACCACTAGTTAAAAACTACTGTGATATTTACGCCACACATCATCCACCCTGACTCTGCTGATTCATTTCAGCCCTTATAAAATCATAACTCCACACAAAAAACATGACTAATGAAGATACAAGTACTTATTAATTTATTTACACAATTTAAAATACACAAATACAGTGGCAATACAAATGAGGAGAAAAAAAAAAAAATCTTCCGGAGTGGGAAGATTTCCCATAATTCCATCTGATACAGCACAGTGTGGTGATTGGGTGATGCGGCTCAAACGAACCAGCAAAGAGAAAACTGAAGATAAAAACAAAAAAACGAAACGAGAGAGAGAAACCCAGAAAATCGGCTGATCCCAAAGTGACGCTGAAAACTACACCAGTACGGGAGCTGTTTGTTTATTTATTCATTTTTTTTGTTTGTGAGACCACCGGAGAGAGAAAACGTCTAACTTAACAAATCTAGAACGGAACAAAGTCCCTCTCATCCCTCTAAACGCTACCATCTTCCCCCACACACTACACACAGACAGACAGACAGACAGAGACAGACAGACAGAGGCTATGCTGTAAAAATGGTACCTCGCCATCACTAGAAACATCCTATATACATAACAGAATTGAATAATTTCATTTTCACCACTACCCCCCATCCCGACTACGGAAAACGCCTAAATGCTCTACTAACGATGAACTTGGAGAGGCCGTGCGCGCCTTTCTGCTTCTTCTACAGCTCGAAGCACCTGGAGAAAACGAAAATAATGAGACGAGGGGGGAAAACGGTACTAAAAGCCTGGATAACACTCAGTAAATAAAACTCGATTTAAAAAAGAAGACATTTTTAAAAGAAAGAAACCATGACACGCTGGATGGGCGTCTCTTTAAAGGGTGCTGACGACTCGCGTTTCCGTCTCGGAGGACAAAACTGAGCTCGATCAGCTTCGACTGGCTGAACTCATTCATAACCGTGTAATTACAAATGCATAACTGGCCGCAATTCAGCAGGATTTTCAAGTTAAATGCTGTTCCATCCTGCGCAGAGCCCCAAAATCCACACACGCTGGAGTCCTTTATTAAAAACAAACAAACAAAAAAAAAAGCCAAAAGCAAAAACAAACACCCCCCACAAAACAAAAAAAAATATATTTCCACACAACACAGAGCATCCTACACACCCGCACTCGTCCGCACGCTCGCCTGTGCTATGGACTCCATCTCTGACTGCAAGTTTGAAACAAACAGTAACATGAACATGAACGTTTCCACAATACAGGCATTTTCACAGCTTTCCACAGCTTCAGGGAATGCAATAAAAAAAAAATAAAAAAAAACAGTGAGCAAGTGGACAGAGAGCGCCAGGCTGACCGGGATCAAGAAATTATTTTTTAAAAAAATTTCACCCAAAATGCATGATGCTAAAGTGGTATTGGTGTGTTTACAATCCCCGATTCAGAGTTCGTTATTTTTTTTAATTCGTCTTCCCTCGGCTGGCCTTCACTACACAAACACCTAAACTACACCAATACCTAAAGAACAAACCGGCCTACAGGAAATAAACGAGTCTCAGAGCTGGCTTCGTTCAGACGAGCAGCCAAATCAGATCCTCCCCCCCATGTACCAGATATGTCTTCGCTTTTGACGTCTAAAAACCCTAAAATTCTGATTTGGACAGCGTCAAAGCACTCATAAATCTGATTTAAAAAAAAAATAAAAATCTACTCTCTGGCTTATGCAAACCACCTCAAAGCTCAAACTGCAGTTTCCATAAGCAGTTCTAGAAGCTCTTAAATGCATTTTCGATGCAAACAAAAGGCCGCACAGCCTGCGAAAACTGAGTTTAATCATTGTTAAACAAGAAAAAAGGAAAAAAAAAAAAAGAAAAATGTATAGAAGCACAACGTCGATGGCTATCGGAGCAGCTCCATCCTGAGCTGAGTACTTTTTATCTCATTTTTTTTTTTGCAACAGGTGAGGGTGAGCTGGAGTATCGTATGTGTTTGTTTACGTGCGCTGGGCTGTGGGTCACTCCAGGACCGCATAAAAGACGGACAGATGCTGGAAAGGCCACTTTTGCCCACGCAGAGCCGTGAGAAAGAGCACAGCGGTCGAAGTGCTCCGATTCATTTTTATTTTTTGGAGTGTTTGCGTTTGGTGGGTGAGAACGTGTTTGTGTATGTGAGCGAGAGAGAGAGAGAGATAGAGAGAGAGAGATAGAGAGAGTGAGTGTGGCTGTCCATCCCTCCCTCAGAGTGACTGGATTCAGTTGCGCTGGAAAAAAGAATAAAGAAATAAAGTCTGTCTGGCTTTGATTTGCTCAGGTTTGACTGCAGATGCTGGAGAAGTCCTGGTGCAGAAAAAAGGGCTGCTGGCGCCCCCTGGTGGCCTGTGCGGGTCTCATCGAGGTACAGCGGACTGCAGGCCACTGGGGGTGACACGAGAAAGCGCCTGCGGAGGGAAATAAACACAGTTAATATCACACACACACCACTCAGTTACACACACAGTAAAGCTTTATTAGAGCTGGATTAGTTTTACAGGACACAAAATGTTAAAGCACTTCCTTTTTTACAGTACGTCTCACCAAAAAGGAGCAGGAAGGGAAGCACAGATACAAGTTTCTCAATACCTCAGGATATCAGCTCAGACAGTATTGATTCAATATTTATTTCATCAGCTTAAAACTGTATATATATATTATAATGTGCTGTTACAGTCAGAGATCATTCCAAAATGTGTATTTTAGAAATTTCAGTCTTATTTTAGGGCCACAATGTCTAATTGATCACTGCAGACACCTTTACCATCACCTTATTATCTCAAAATCACCCCACAAAATTAGAAAATCAAAATTTTCAGCCTACATTAAATTCATAAAACGGGCATGTTCTCCTTAAATAAAGAGGTTTGTCAGTAAGGTAATCGCTCAAACTTGTTAGCAGTATACAGAAAAATCAGTTCTATTAATAAAACAGTGAAAATTTGACGTGATGCATTTTGGAACGAAACGATTCAGAGGACAGCGAGTGAACAATAAATACTGTATTCAGTTTTTAAACTGCTTCGTTTTTGTCAGTTCAAACCTCAGAAAAACAAAGCACTGATGTGTACAATGTATCAGGAAAAGGTATTGCATTTGTAAAAGCATTATATTTTTCCCATATTGCTCAGTCCTACCTCGACATGCTCATTTTCTGAACATCTTTAACACTGTAGGGCGGCTCAGCTGAGCCCAGAAGCCTAAAATACTACTTTCTGAGGATAAAAAAGGCCAATAATTATCAAACCAGAGCAGGGTGAGGGAAGCCAAGAGGCCCTAAGGGCATGTGAGCTCTGATCTGGCATTAAAGGAGTTTGTTTATGAGCAGCGTAATTAAGTGCGCATGCATGTATGACTACTGAATTTATTTTAATTGGATATTTGGTGGGGGCTGCCCTCCGAGCCCCTCCCCCACAGTCTGTCTCATGAATATTAAGCATATGGAAAAGAGAAGGGGGAGGGTGTGAATGATTATATGTTGAGATAATATAAAGTAGTAAATAAATGTATATCAAAAGCAGAGAAAAGGCTCTTCTGAACTGAAAGGCATGAGTGGGCCTTTTATCTGCGGAACAAAAAAGATGGAGAGATGACCAAGTGCTGGAAGGAGAAAAGGAGAATACATTTTTCATGATGCCCTGACAGAGCGAAGAGAGAACAGAAGGCCCAGGAGGATCGGGGCTCAGGCCTCGGCCAATCGAGTGCCTTCTCTCCTTTAGAGGGCGGCGGCAATTCATCTCTGCCATTACGGAGGAAACAAAAGAGCTGCTAAAGGTGAGACACTCAAAACTAATATTGAGCCAGACAGAGTTGAGCTGGGGGATTTAAAAAAGGGTTAAACTGTCTAAGAAAAAGATCATTCTGGAAATGTTTTTGTACAAAATAGCTGAAAGGGGAGACAAAAATACCAAAGAACTGTATTAAAACAAGAAATATCCATATGATAAATATAATAAACTGATACAAATTTAAAAAGCTACTTTTAAACTTTTAAAAAATTCAGATCAGCCACTGACTCAGGTGCCAAAAAAGGCTCTGAGCGTAGGACAACTTACAGCTTCCTAAAAACATGCTCGATAAATATTTGAGAGAGAAGAACCTGTTATAGGTTTAAAATAAACCTTCACATAATGTTCACAGATTATGGGCTCTTTCTAGAAGAACCATGTATTGGAAGGTGCTTTTAGGAACCAAAAGTGCTTCTTCTAATCTACGGTACTGGGTGTTTAACCTTTTTGGGTGCCTTTATTTTTAAGAATATAGCAAAAAGAAAAAGAAAAAAAAAAAATCTAGAAATGTAAAAAAACCTTCTTACAACACGATACAGACAAAAATATTTCATACATGATAAAGAGAAAAACAATGAAAGCTGTTCTCTTAAACACCAAACAGAAGCAATATTTACACATCAAACACTGCAAACGTGTAAAAACAGTGCAGGTGGCAGCAAAGGCCGAGCACACATCACATAATGCATGCGTGAGAGAAAGAGAGAGAGAGAGAGAGAGAGAGAAAGAGAGAGAGAGAGAGAGAGAGAGAGAGAGATCAGCACTCCAGGTCCAAGCACTGAGTTAAAGGGGAAAAGAAGGGCTGTGCTCCAATCTTCAGACTTCCAGACTCAGAGTGCATGTTCCAAATGTGCACCTGAAGCCTGCAAGTAGAGATTGTACTAAGGTTAGAGAGAAACCAAACCACACCACACCCAAGCAGCTACACAGGCCTACGGTATTACACCAGCACACAGGCAGGGGGCGCTGCAGAGCAAACCTGCACAGCAGAATATCACATCAATATTCTGAGCCACACTCAGGGGTGGAGTTTGGGTTCAACATTAAAGGGAAGAGTTTCGTGAAAACATCTAAACGGACACAATATTCATTCTGATGCTGGATGTAGTCGGTCAGCCAAGACGTGTTCGGTGTCAAAGCTTTAACTGCAGAGCTTAATCATCACACGTTTTTGTGTTTTTATACCAAAAACAATAATATTATTATTACATGACCATTTCTCAGCCTCTCTTTATCCCTCAGAATTAAAGGCTACTTTGTCTGACTGATGCATGTAAATGAGCTCTGTTCTTATTGGCTTCCTTGTATTAAGTCCCACTTAAAAAAAGCAGTTTACTCCTTATGACATTAGCATGAATGGGCGGAGCTAAACCACTGTATTCCACTAAAGCAATAAGCCATGAGAGGCTGTGTGTTACTGTGATTCTATAACGGGAAGGGAGTGTTAAAGCTCCCTTGCCCTGTGATAACATCACTAACACACTGCCTCAGGTGGCTTACTGCTTTATAAAACGGTGACCAACATAAAAAACAAAGTTTTGCAGAAAATAATTTAAGCTATTATTAATAATAATCGGCATAAACAAGTTTTCCGCCAAGAAACGTAGTTCCTCTAAGGTATGGCGTCATTGCCAAGCAACCATGGACCACTGAAAGAGGAGAATGTACAGCTGTCCCATCGTTGTGCGCTGCGGTCATTTCATGAACTTTTACATTTTTTGTCCTATAATAATGAACATATGATAACAGCACTGTTTAATGTAAAAACCTTCGCTTTATAAGCACTTTTTGGTCACTTATTTAGCACCAATCCAGCAGCCCCTCTTCTCACACTGGGGCTGAGTCTCAAACGGCTCCCTGCTCCCTACAAAGTGCACTATGTAGGAGTTTAAATACTGGATCCTGCAGCCCAACAGAGCAGAATACAGCTAAGAAGTCCTCATTTGGGACTCAGACACATCCACACTCCATAAACGATGCACTGTTTGGCTGAGAGTCTAGAATTTCTAAACGTTCATAGCTAGAACACTATTTAGGGAGTACAGAGCCGTTTGGGATTCAGCCTGGGTCTGACACGACTCCTGACTGAAACACCGATGTTTGAAGCATGTAAGACATTCAAGTGGCATTTTTAGGCTTTTATACTGCAGTTTTGCGGTAAATCACACTGTAAGCGCTTTAATTCAAGCCTGCAATATTAACGATGGAGCTGTTTAGCCTGTTATCTAGCTGACCAGCCTGGTTCTAATTAAGAACATAAGGTGCCAGCACCTCAGTTTAAACAAAAACCGGGTTCTTACTTCTTCAGTACACTCGGTGCTCCGTGTGAGCAGCATTAGAGTCAAAGATTACTCCATTCACAGCAGAAGGGTTTTTCATGCTGTGGCGCAGTGATAGAGTTCAGTCACTGTGCAGTGGTCAAAGGTGAGCGTATATCGTGGATTTCACAACGGCTTCAAACGCGGCTCAGCCAATCAGATTTTAGGACCTGAACTAAGAATTTTATAAATAAACGCAAATGTGTTGGTTTTCATGACATCACAAAAACGATTACTTCAAAACAGGCCAGTTTAGATTCCATATATGGACTTTATGGACTGGAATGTCTTATTTAAAGAACAAACATATAAACAAACTCACTCAGGCCTCTAGATACACCTCCAGTAGAACCGTCTGAGACTTTTACTAAAAAGGCCAATCAGTTACGCAGTGAAAGCTACAGATGGACAGATTCCTGGCAGTTGCTGTTGAGTATTATTGGATAGACGCAGTTCCAGCAGATGGGCCGGGGGGAACGCATGCCCATGTAAAGGCAAAATGCACAGAGTGCACTGATTAATTTTTGTTCCCACGCTACGCATTACGCCTTAAACGCGTCCAACACAAGACCTATGTTTGCATCAGAGTCCGGAGAGCAGAATGAATGGATTTAATCGAGTATCACTGCACAGGATGGCCCGGTAAAGCCTCTCCAACAGTGCCGGTTTGAACAACACAGCCGAGTGCTAATCTTCTGGCTACGCAAAGGAAGCTGACCCAGTTCCACTGGATCCAAACTGCCTGTGGAGCGGGCATATGGTCAGCTCTCTGTGGGCTTCTGCCTTGCGTAAAGACACATTTACATCACTATAGGAACAGTCTAAACCTCCAGAACAGTCAATCTGCATCCAAATCTCCCACAGCGAAGAGAACGGCACTGAAATTCAGTAATCAGCTCTGAATTAAAGTGGTAGTTTAAAAGATAATTTACACGGTTCCACCCTTTACCCCAGGTGTAGCCAATCAGCCTTGCCATGTCTGAAGTCTTTCGTTTTAGCACTGAAGCTATGAGGCTAATGAAGTGGACAGGTAATACAGGCTCATTAGCAACTAGCTTGATGCTAAATGAATCACATACTTGCCTCAAACTGTGTGGAGTTAGAGAGATTAAGTGTTCTTTGCGTAATTCAGTGTGTGAGATTTAATCAGAGTGATTCAGAGTGGTTTGGTGTGAAATGGTCCAGATGTCTTTACAGTGGTGGTGATAGGAACCAGGGGTCGCCATGACTACAACACAAATATAGACATTTTATTTACTATCCAGAACCACCAGTGAACCTACACGAGTCTTCTGAGTTTAT